AAAAGTAGCATGTTCACAGGCGAGTACAAGAAAATGTGTGCAAACAATTTTTTTCCTTATATTATTTTGTCCAATTAGACATTGTCAAGTCTCATTGGGTATGAAATAACAAGATTAAAAAACGTATGGTTGATAGGTGTTCAAAAAAGACACAAATAGGTGGAACCACAAAATATTTCCTTTAAACAAAGCGAAGATTTTTTGGCCAAATAAAAAGTTGGTAAAGCCCAATGGGACGAATGGTGTATATGACTCGAAGTTGTTATGTTGATATAATTACTCTCAATTTATTTATTTATTTTTTAGTGGGAGTCCGGCTAAAAATGTGTGCTACTATGACATCAATATAGCCTATATGATTTCATTTATGACTTAAATTGTAACAATTTTACAAAATTATATATGACTCTGCTATAATCATATAATATATACATGTGACTCTGTTATATCCAATCATTATAAAATTGGAATCATAAGTGACTCTAAGGAAATCACTATTTCCAAACTCATTTTTAACTATGAAGTTCAATTCAGAGAGCCTTCGGCGAGAAGCAACAACTGATCTTAATAAAATATGATTTTTGTTTAATAAAATGTTGAATAAAATGGTTTTTGCTGCTGAATAAATGGATTGTTTGTTTATTTTAAATAATAAATTTCATACTATATTTAAAGTTCCATACACTTTCTATTCTGGGATGTATTTAAAAGTTTCATACACTTTCCCCTTTTGGTAAAATTTTTATTTCTAATTTGACTAAAATTTTACAGATGAAATTTCACCAACCGTGCATTGCACGGGTGTTGTACTAGGTTGAGAGTGTTGATTCCTCGGTAGTCCTTGACTCCCTCTGATGCAAACTTGCCTTTCAAATTTCAGAGGCGACATTGCCCCATTATGATTTCATATGCTATGACTGTTAATAAAAGTTAGGGTCAATCGTTGTCCCGTGTGGGTTTGTTGTTGAGGAAACCTATGTTTACGCATGGACAACTCTATGTTGCGGTTTCAAGAGTGACCAACAGACGTGGTTTGAGAATTCTTATATGGGATGACACCGGCAAGACCGCGAATGCCACTCAAATTGTTGTTGATAAGGAAGTTTTCAATAACGTGTAGCGTTGCATTCCATTCCGTTACTAATGCCTATAGGTCATTGTAGAATTATTTTGGTGTACTTAATTATTTTACTACTATGGCTGATCGTGAATTGTGTACTCTGTAACTTATCGCCAAAGTTGGTAGTGTTATTGTCAATAAATCTTTTGTGGCGATTGTTTTGAAAACAATTTGAAAGGAGAACAAATGGGATAGAAATTCTCCGGCTGTGCATCGCACGGGTGATTTACTAGTAAATATAACAATGAAAGAGTTGGAATTCTTGCAGGGGTTTAGGCTATTTTTAAAAGTGATTAATATCTTAAATACTGTAAACATGAACACATATGAGGTATTTATTATTGTTACAGAGTTTTCCATTCATCCCACAACTTTTTTCCTACTCCTCGTATGAGATGCGCTAAAATATTTTTTGCATTTCTTTTAAAGAAGTATATTTGTATGATTGTTGTTTTTTTTTACATCAACACTAATTTGTTTCCTTATAAGATTGCCAAATCAAGCAAGAAGAAAGAAAATTTTGGGATGAAAGGAGTAACTTAATAGACTACTACACTATTTACAAGCAAACTATTTTGTAAGACAATAAATTACGGAGATACTGGACTCCAAATATCATGTTGTCTTATAGCTTAGAATCAATTATTTGTGACCACTTTGTGGGAGAACTAGACCCCCTTGAAGAAGTACCCCGCAAATATTAAGTTTACTCATTTTGGTAAAAGAAGCCACTAATCCCTTAGAATTTGACTTCTCAATATTCCTCTTCATAAACACATGCTCCCTCTCCAAAGCATTCAACCTCATCCACATCCTGGCAAGTTCTAGCTTCAACTCTCTACTTTCCCGTCTGAGAGAGACATAGTTGTCTTTGGGTGACAGAGCACCACTGTTGATCCTCCATGACTGTGACATTATCAGATGCTTTGGATCATCATCAAAACAAGGGCTAAACATTGAATTTCGTAGCTTCAATTATTGTTCAAAGTAAAGCACTTGGATTATGGATTGAAGCAGGAGGTGTTCGTTTTGTGTCACGTGTGCACCAACTTCATGTGATAGCTTTTGAAAATTGATCATCTTGCACACTATCCTCTTGTCTTGATATGACAACCCTTGATGAGCCTGCATTGTGCACTTACATTCATAAGATATATAGATGATGTCACGTACACTTGACCTATCCTAATGCCATATTGTAAAGTGTGAGGTAACAATTGAACTACAAAGGGAAATTACATATATTTAAGTTAAGCATATACTTTTGGAAAAGAATAATATATTTCGGTATTCAAAAAAGGGGATTTTTCTTTACTTATTCTAGTTTCTTGACTAACAATTCATAACGGTCAAGTATAAAGATTCAAACAACGTAACTTTTGAAGCTTTGTTAACTTTGTCATTGGTTTTCCCTTTTTTTTTCAAAAAAGTATTAAAATTCATAACTTTTAATAATCCATGACACCAATATTATGCATATAAAAATTTCAAAAAAATAGAAACATTTTGGATTTGAATATTTTCAAACAAATTCAACTGCTAAAATTTAGATTGAAGTGTTGAAATTAAAATCTCACAGTTAATGTTTTTACATCTTTCACAACAACAGATTTGACGTAATAAATGAAAAACAAACTCCAAATTTATTTAATTTACATTGGAGTGTTTGAGTTTTTAAATCATAATTATCCGTAAAAAAATTGAATGCAATCGAAAAAATTTTAAATCATAATTATCATTGGGTGATCTCATGTAAAACAACCATGAGATCTTAATTCTAGTACTTGGATCAAGAAAAATTTTGGAACATAGTTTTTAAAAACTTTATATATGAGATATTGGTGCCACATGAAAGATCATATAAAATTATGATTTTTGATATATATTTTTTGTAAAAAAATGGAAAACAAATGAAAAAGTTATAAAGCTCTTTAAGAGGAAGATATTTTTCAAGGGTTCCCTTAATTGATTGTCATGTATAGTTTTTCATTTTTCAGAAAGATTCTCCCAAAATCTGCACTCTTCTATCATTCTCTCGAGGCGGACTAGGTGGGTGGGGCAATGACTAGTATTGTCTATGGGGGAGGGTTGAGGCAACGACTAGGATTGTGCGTAGAGGAGGGATGAACAGGGGGTGGGGAAGTGACTAGGATTGTCCGTGGCGGAGGGATGGGCAGTGGATGGGGCAATTACTAGATTTGTCTGTGGGGTAGGGATGGGCAGGGGGTGGGACAATGACTAAGGTTGGTGCGTGGGGGGGGGGGGGGGGTAGGAATTGCGATGTTAGGTGACTGGGCATGGGCGGCTAGGTCATAGGCCGGGTGGTTAGAGAGGCAGTGAGCCGGTGATCACTTGTGTATTTTCGATCACTAAATGATTTTTTTTGTCATCACAATTCACAAATTGTGGTCACTCTGGCGTTACTCTAACACGAGTGAGTGAAATTAAACTAGTATAATGATATAACAATCTTTTAGCCTCTTTGTAGTTTCAATTTTGGAAACATAAAAAATATGTCCTTGTCATCTTTAATATGTTTGACATAAGTTCATATCCCCTAAATAATCTTCTATTATATAAAAGCAGGAGGAAAAGGGAACAATGTTCCCGCCCAAAGTATTGTCCAAAAATTGGGCCGGGTCGGGTTACCACTTACCAACACATACACAATAATATAAGCTTAAATGCACATTTAATTCCGTGTACAACACACAACTAATAACCACTGGATTTTGAACTTTGAATTATTCAAGAAGCTGGCTTTCTCGATGGATTCAACAATTTGAAATCGTTTGTGTAAATTAGCATTGTGATGTCCTTTCAAACTAGCTTTCCCGATTTATTCAAAAGTTTTAAATGGTTGGTATAAATGAGTACTATGCTGTCATTTCAAAATTAATATCGCGTGCTACAAGTTAGTTAATGTTATTAACCATTGGGTCAAACACTGCAAAATTTAGTATAAAACCATCTTAATTTGTGAGTGAATACAACAAGGTCGGAAATGAGGTTCCATCGCATTCCAGAGATGGAGAGATAATAGAGTTTGTTATTCATGAAAAAATGTATATTATGTACACAAAATGAAAAATCTGTTTACTACATCGTTCTTAGTACTTATCATGTAAGCTATACATCACTAATCGACAAGGATAAAGCATTCATGCAGCAATAGAAGGGCCACATCTTGAACTGCATAAGTCAATAACAAAAGAACATGCCTATCTTATTCTTGATAACAACCAGTCAGTGAACCACAACATATTCATGCACCGTATTCTTTATTAGAAGTACCTGAGTGAAGGAAATTGAATTTAAAAGGTAATCACTGTCATTACTCCCAAAAACCAATCATTCTACCAATGTTGTTTACAAGCTAAGGAAGTGCTTCGAAATATTTAGTCTACGGGAATCTTAGTGTAATATTTATTTTTTCCTTCTTATTCAAAATATAATTTATACCGATTATGAGTCATAAATATCTTTTTCTTAATTCAACTAAAATGTATATTTTCCTTAATTATAATTATTTGTGTGAGAGTTACATTTATACGATTTGCTTTATGTTCATTTACACATTACCTAATAACGTTAACAAATACGTAATACTAAGATACAATGTTATTTCATCCATGTTCCGTGCATCGCACGGTGAGAATCTAGTTGTAGACAAAGACCCTGCTAATTTTTTACTCCGTATGTTCCTGCCTTTAGCATTCAAAGCAATTAATATTTCCTATGTTACAAAGCACCCTCAAAAAAATTTTCAAAAAAAAAAAAAGCACCCTCAAAAATTAATACTCGGCCCAACTACTGCTATTCAAACTTGCTGTTTTTTCTCGCATATTTGGACCGTAACCAACCCTTTTAATTAGTCCAGTTGTAAATCTGCAATCCTCACTAAAACCCTAGCACAGCGCCTTCCGCGGCTAGCAAGAGGAGGAACGGACAGAAGCCAGACACCAGGGAACGGCGGCTAGCAAGAATGGTGTCAGGATCGGGAATTCGAGCCCGTAGAGTGGTCGTGGACGCCAGACACCACATGTTGGGGCGTCTGTCTTCCATCCTGGCCAAGGAGCTTCTCAATGGCGTGCGAGTGGTGGTGGTCCGATGCGAAGAAATCTGCCTCTCCGGTGGTCTTGTCCGTCAGAAGATGAAGTACCACCGCTTCCTCCGCAAGAGAATGAATACCAAGCCATCCCACGGCCCAATCCACTTCCGTGCTCCCTCGAAGATTCTATGGCGCACAATCAGAGGGTAAATGCTTTCTCTATGTAGTATTCGTTCTTCTGAAATGTATAGTTATATTTCGATCATTTGCGCTATCTATTTGGTTCTAGTCGTTTAATCTACCCATTAACGTTTAGTCGTTTAGTGTGTGGATTCTACATATTGAGCTTTTTTATAATTTGAGGATTGGGGATTTACAGAATGATTCCACACAAAACGAAGAGAGGAGCAGACGCACTAGGACGGTTGAAGGCGTATGAGGGTGTTCCTACACCTTATGATAGGGTGAAGCGAATGGTTATACCTGATGCCCTCAAGTGAGTTATTGTAAGCATCATTTTTCTAATGCATGGAAAAGCTTTATCCTTGATTGATCTCATTACTGTTTGGAACATGTACATCACAGGGTTTTGAGGCTCCAGGCCGGGCACAAGTACTGCTTGCTGGGTAAGCTGTCATCTGAGGTTGGCTGGAACCACTATGACACCATCAAGGTACACCATTTTTACGTCTTCTCCCAATCATGAGTAATCTAATAAGCATTGGGAACTCCCCATGGTTCATGTTTCTATGGGTATGATAACGTTTTGGAATCTCTGAAGCTTTAAGTTCTCATTTTGGTGTCTTTTCTATAATTAAAAAGAATTAGGAAACCTGTTGCTGCAATTAATTAGTGTTATGGAATTTTTCATTTGTGATTTTTTTTTCTTTTTATGGAATTTATTTATTTATTGTTAGATTTTTTTGGGACAGAAAATACTGTCTTCTTCAACAGTGTTATGGTTTTGTTAGACATGGTCTTTGTGGCAAATGCAATGCCTTGCTAGACATGTATTGTATTTTGTGTTTAGTTATGTACTGCTCCGTAATATTTAATACGAGTATGTTCTGGATTTGAATATTTGATATTTGAAGATGAGAACTTTCAAGAATATTGGCCTTTATTTAAAGTTATTTTGTGCTTATATGAAAAAAACATGTGCGCTTATTGTGAAACATGGTATGAATTTTGAGGAACTAATTATTGCTTCCTTTTCCCACAATAGGTTCTGGAGGATAAGAGAAAGCAGAGGTCACAGGTGGCATATGAAAGGAAGAAGCAATTGACAAAGCTTAGGATTAAAGCTGAAAAGGCTGCTGAAGAAAAACTTGGTTCCCAACTTGACATACTTTCAGCTGTTAAGTACTGATCTTTTTAGTTTTATTGAGGTTTTTAAACTTTTGTACACCAGACAATGTGTTTGTTGCCAACTTTTTTTTATAATTGTTTTGAAGTTATTTGCAATTGGATTCAGTTATGCCAATGGTTTTCCGATGTTGCAATTTCTCTTCCATTTTTCCCCTATATGCAATTATGCCCAACTACTAAAGATGAGAAATGCTATTATCAAATAAAATAGACTTCAAACCTTTTTGACTAGTAAATGTTTATCATTTGCTACGGGGTGTTGGGAATTGATTTTGTCCTCTTTTTTTAAAGCATAATCATAATCAATTTTTTTTATAAATTGGTCTACCTCTCCCAACTTCTAAAAAACCGTTTCTAGTAGCATTTTGGTTTACTCAGAGGTACTTCTATACTTTCATCCAAAGTCCAAATACTCTAAACTGCAGAACTAGTTGTAAGAAGTAGATCCAAACAACCTATAGTTGTCAATTCTGAAAAGGGGTGTTAGCATCATGTTAGTCCCAAAAAGTGTCGATGTTGAAAGGGATTTTATATGCCATCTTTTGGTAATCAATTCTGGATTATTGTGTATTGCTAATGCAAATGCTAGAAGAGAAATGTTCAAATAGAGAAACAAGAAGGGCATAAATGAGTTCAATAAGAAAGGTCTGCCAATCCAGTGCCGTAAGTAGTCCATACTTTGGTACAACCCTTCAAAATGAAGGGATGGTAGGGATGAGTGAATGACAATGAAAGAGTGAGAAATCTTGCAGGGGTTTAGGTGGTTATTAAAAGTGATTAATATCTTATAACACTGTAAACAGGAACACATATAAATAATGCCAATATTTATTACAGGGTCTTCCATTCATCCCACAACTTTTTTCCTACTCTTATGAAATGTGCTAAAATATTTTTTTCATTTCTTTTAAAGAAATACTTCGTATGCTTGTGTGATTGATGTTTTCTTTAAAAGCACAATGACACAAATTTGTTTCCTTAAGTTTGCCAAATCAAGCAAGAAGAAAATTTTGTGATGGAAGGAGTAACTTAATAGACTACTACACAATTTACAAGCAAACAATTTTATAAGAAGAAACAACATAGATATTGGACTGCAAAAATTATGCTCTTTTCGATAGCTTAGAATCAGTTATTTGTGACTGCTTTGTGGGAGAACTAGAGACTCCCTTTAAGAAGTACCCCTGAAAATATTCAATTTACTCATCTTTCTTTTCTGGAAAAAGAATCCACAAACTGCTTAGAGTTCGACTTCTCAATATTCCTCTTCATAAACACATGCTCCCTCTCCAAATCATTCAACCTCATCTGCATCCTTTTAGCTTCAACTGGTTGGCCTTTTAAAAAGTTTTGTCTAGCATATGCAGATTGGTACTTTAAAATGATGTTTGATACTTTAAACTTTTTACTACTTTTAAAATGATCTAGTATTCATTGTTTAATTGGTTGTTTAGTACTTTTTAAAACGAGTACATGCATAGCACTCATCTTAGTCATCTAGGTATTATATTATAGGGAATTTACCCAAAATAGGACTAAAAAGGTTTGAAAATTCCAAAATATGACTGCCATGTTTTTATTCCCAAAATAGGACTAATTACTGCCATATTTTGGCAGTACCAGACTTCAAACATGACAGTATTTTCTAAACTTGGCAGTAATTACTCCTATTTTGGGAATAAAAAACATGGCAGTCCTATTTTAGAATTTTCAAACCGTTTTAGTCCTATTTCGGGAACTTTCCCTATATTATATTGTTTCTGTCAAAAAAAGGTACCATCGTATTATATTGTTTATACTTTATAGACTTGGTTTAGTGTGTGCTATCTAGTTTGTGTGTTGTGTTGTGTATTATTTCATGTAATAGTAGCAAGCATGTATATAAAAAAGGATGACACCCCATCCTTGAGCCCCCCTCCCCCAACACCGGTCGGACAATTAGCTGGGAGGATGTAAGTTGGACTTTAATCATAAGTTGGCAGATGAGAGTGAGACTCTGGCTCTTATACTTGCAGAGAATCTATGCATTTTTTTAGCATAGTAACATCTCATCACAGTTGTCGAGATTTGAACAAGACTTATCCCTTGTGGCACCCCCTATCCACCAGTTGAACTATGCACACCGGCTAGCAAGCATATACTAGTATATAATAATAATATACGAAGTATATACTAAATGCAGTGTGCACACTCACACAATACACAAAGAAGTACAATCAAAGGCTACTGTCTTTTTATATTTAATTTAATTATATAAATGTTTTACTATTGTAAGCAATGCACATATTTAGGAGGAAAGCGTCACCCTCAAAATCCCACACTCTAGTATGTGCCACGTGGCATATGATTACTTTTTTAAAAAAAATTATAACCTTTTCATTTATGGTCCAATCTTTTTCAAAAAATATACTCCGTACTATTTATCAACTTAAATGACTTTGTGATCTTTCGTATTATTTTTTAGGATTATTGCACAAAAGAGTCCAGCCTTAAGTTGCGATAAAATTAGTCCATCGTATATATAATGAGTTTTTACCTTTAAATAGGACCAAATAACGATCAAAATTCCTAAATGGGAGTTAATGTTTTAATTTACCCTAATAGGACTCATTATTCCGAATCTACCCTGCAACAATAAAACCCCCAGATCTTTCCATCTTCCCTGTCTTTTCTTTATCGGCAATCTTCTTTTCCCCCGCTTCGTCAAACTCGATCCTCTGCCATGGAGTACGGAGACTCAATCTCTTCCGCGCACCACCCCGACTAGCATCTGGTAATCCCCTTCTCCTCCTTTTTCTCTTTCACTTCCTACTTCTCCTTCTCCTATATTCCTTCTCCTTCTTCCTCCTCTATTCTTTACTCGTTTTTACACTATTAATATTTTCGATCTGTTAACTTTAATTTTTCGAATATATTTTCGATTCTCAATGGAAGTTTTATTTTTGCTTTGAAACTTTTGAAACTCTTGTTCAAAAAATTCAGATCTAAATTTTAGAATTGTGTATCTTTATCAGCTTGTAAGAAATGCCACATTTATGGCATTTTTTTTAAGGAGATGGAAATATTGCATCTTTGAAAATGCCAAAATTTTGGCATTTTCACAAATTGTGGTATTTTTGTCAAATTTTTGGCATTTTTCGCAGGTAGAAATGCCATTTTTTGTCAGGTTATCATAATGGCAATTTTGCCAGAAATTGATACTGTACACTCCTCAGGAGGTAGCTGTGACTAAGAAGATGCCAACATTTGTAGAGAAGATGCCAACATCTGTAGAGAAGAATTTAGATCTGGCTCCATTCTCGCTGTAGGAAGGGGTAAATCGCATCACTGGAGGTGTGCAGCGGCAATCTCGGCGGCGACAGGTGCGGCAATCTCGACGGCGACAGGTGAGGCGGTCTCACTTGGCTGCAGTGAGGATCTGTGGCGGCCGTGCACGGCATGGCTGAAGGTCTCTGCCGTTTGGGGTTCACGCGGGGTTCACGAGATGTCGTGAATGAGGCGGCTGGGAAGGATTTTGTTCTTTTTTAACTGTGATTTCATTAAGGGCAGTATTGTCTAATCAGTTGATTTTTAGTCCTATAAAATATGAGAGTCCTATTTGTGCATTTCAACATTGATTTTGTCCTATTTAGGGAATTACCTCATATATAATTAGTTAAAAGTAGCCACCTTTTCAATATGCAAGGCATAACTACGATCCATCCATAAATCTGCTAAATTCCCATGTCTTCTCTCCACATAAGCGTAATGTCTTACTCCGTATTTTATAAGCAAATGTGTCACTAATGATATTTATTTATTTTATTAAAAATATTTGTATGTCCCCCCATTAACTTTACTTAGGACACCAACCCTACCTCTCTCATGTATCTGATATATCTAATGAAACAAAATTTCCCTTTGAATTCATTAATTTAATTAATGACGCGATGACTCTAAATTAGAAAAACAAACATACTGTACTCATAAAAGTAGAAGTAGTTTTTTAGAAGTTGAAACAGAATGACTTCTAAAATCTTATTTTGATTCTACCTCTTCTATAAAAAAAGAAGCAGAATCAGAATCATTTCTAAACACCCCTATGTACAACAACTATTAGAGTCTTAGTCTCTTAGAGGTGAAAACTGCTATTATCAAAGGGTAGACTTCAAACCCTGGTTTGAGTTCTGAATAATTATCATATGCTGCAGATTATTATATACCCGGGAGTGTCAGTATTATATCTGTCCCAAAAGAGTGCTAATACGTATTGCAAATGCAAAAAGCAAGACAATAATTGTTCAAATGGATAAACAAGAAGGGCACAAAGAAGGTCGTTTAATAAGTAAGGTCTTCCAATCCTGCCATTAGCCCATTAGTCATCTTTCTGTACAAGTGTACAACTGAACAAAATGAAGGTATAGTAGGGATGAACACATTACAAGTCCGATCGAATGAACACATACAAGGCTGATAATTGATAAATATTACAAGGTGTTCCATTCGTCCCACAACTTTTTACCTATTACAAGATGCCCTAAAATATTGTTTTGGCATTTTTTTTAGAAATATTTGTGTGATTGATGTTGTTTTCCTTAACGTCAAACACAATAACACAAATTTGTTTCTTTGTATGTTTGCCAAATCAAGCTACTAGGAAGAAAATTTTGGGACGGAAGGAGTAATTTAACAGACTACTACACACTTTACAAGCAATAACTATTGTTTATAAGACAAGAAATTATGGAGATATAGGACTGCAAAGATCATGTTCCTTCTGATAGCTTAGAATCGGTTATTTGTGACTGCTTTGTGGGAGAACTAGACCCCCTTGAAGATGTACCCCCAAAAATATTCAATTTACTCATCTTTTTGGTAAAAGAACTCGCAAACCGCTTAGAGTTTGACTTCTCTATATTCCTCTTCATAAACACGTGCTCCCTCTCCAAATCATTCAACCTCATCCTCATCCTGGTTAGTTCTAGCTTCAACTCCCTATTTTCCCGTCTAAGAGACGCGTAGTTGTCTTTGGGTGATAGGGCAGCACTAAGAGCGCCACTGTTGATCCTCCATGACTGTTGGATCATTGGTTGCTTTGGATCGTCATCGGGACAAGGGCTAAACATTGAGTTCCGTAGCTTCAATTGCTCGAAGTAAAGCACTTGCACTATGGATTGAAGCGGGAGGCGTTCGTTTTGTGCCGCGTGTGCACCAGCTTCATGTGACAACTTTTGGAAATCTATCATCTTGCACACTCTTCTCTTGTCTTGATCTGATAACCCTCCATGAGCCTGCAATATGCACTCACATTCATAAGATAATAAGATGATGACGCATACAAAAGGAAATTGCATATATTTTAGTTAAGCATCTAAATATATTTTAGAGCAATACATTTCAACATACAAAGAAAGGCATTTTTTTTAACTTATTCTAGTTGTTTGGACAGTTAAGCATTTCATAACGATTTTGTATAAAGATACAAACTAACATACTCCGTGTATAAGATATTGAAATAGCCCGAGCATTAATGACACGATGTTGCGTACCTTAAGATAAATATCGATGGCTCGATAGAGACTGTCATGTACTGTTCGAGCATGAGTAGGTAACGTCTCTGCAATGGCTATAAACTTACTAAGTTTCAAGTTGGCATCTGGTGCGATTTCAGCAAGGTAATGGTCCAAAAGTTTCGCGACTTTGAAGAGTGAAGTTTGGGAAGGCGGCAAAGGAGTATCACACTCATCAAACACGTCAGACGACTCGTCTTCCATACCGTCTTCATCACTCTCATCCTTGTGCTGGAAAAAGCAGACCAATATCCTATGAACCGTGTCCACATCAAACAACGTGTCGCCAGCGTGGCGAAACGAAGGGATCAAAAGGTCATCCAACGTGGCCATCTCCAATTGGGACCCAATCCTCCTCTCAAGATCAACCCTGCAAGCCACTGCACAGTCCAGCGACACTCCACTCCTCAAAAGCCCAAATAAAAACCCAATGGGTATCACGCATTTCTCGTCTGGAAGAAGGCCCACAATCGCTTCCACAACCTGCTTCTCATTTTCGCTCGGGCTTTTCTTGTTGAGCTCTTTCTGGGCGTAATTGACCAAAGAAGCGGCGATACTTTCCGGCCGAACGCCGCGGCACTTCATGGCGGCGATGACTCGCTGGTAGAAGTCAACGCGAAGAACAGAGAGGTCCTCTATCCACCAGTCCCCCTCACAGCTCGCGTGGCGGCTCATATGGAGCCGACCCGACCCGCTATATTCCAATCTCGAGAAACTTATGGCGATTTGCTCGGCGCAAGCTTTTGAAGCTATGGCGTCTATGCAGCGGGGGACGATGTTAAGCTCGTCGGCGAGTGGGAGGAGGGTCTCGCATTGGGTGAGAACTTCGAGGCACAATTCGAGTCTCTTATAAACTACGCTTTCGAGGTACTCTTGTGTTCGGGATGAAAGGTTGTCGCCGGAGTAGTCGCCGGTCATTTCGAGGTAGGCGGCGGCGCAGGAGAGGTGGGCGACGTTTGCCGGCGTGATCTCGAAGTTGACGCCGTAACAGAACTTTGCAGCCATTTCAAAAGCCTCGGCTCCGCCGGGTAAGCTGACTAGCTGAATTCGTGATATGCCTGAGTTCCTGTATTCTGATGTCAGTTTTCTTATCCGGCCACTCTTTGTCACCAGGGGGAACTGCACAAAATAATACAGAGTATTTTGATCGACATTAATTTAGGCTCAACTTATGTAAATCATGTTTAGAGATTTATTTCATACGTTTTGCTTAATTCTTTGTTTTGCTTTTAGAAATTGTAAAGAAATCATATTTATGCTTTTTCACTGGAAATTATTATTGTGTAAGTTCTATCAGGGGTGCTTAGCTCTGTTTACAATAAAAGTGGATTATATGTGAGGGCAATATCAGTTTTAATATCTGAAATAAGAACTTTTTAACAGATATTAGTAAGGTTCTTTAACAACTACTGTTGATTTACACTTGGCAGAATCAGTAAATGATGAAAAATCGTGTAAAAAGTTGTTTTTTGGCAGAAGCTGTTGAAATGAATGAATTTGAGACTTATTAATTGTTTTTGAGATCTTATTGTATTTAGTTCATTAAGATAATATGCTTGAGTAAATTCTCTAGTGATTTAACTTGTTTGGCCAATTCAGTAATTTCAAGCAACTTCAAATATTTCAACCTTGCCAAAAGGGTTCTATTTCTGTAGGCCCTTTCGGCAAGAACTAAGAAGTGTTTTTGCTTAAATGATAGGGTGTCTAGATTTTCAGAAAGGAACAGCTTTTGGCAAATCCAATTCCAGCATTACTTTAAGCTTAAGCTAACAGAAGATAAATCTAAAGCAGTCATTGACTGAGTAAAAATGGGAGGATTTTACCTTGTGCAGTGAAAAGATTGACCCATCAACTTCTATGGTAATATCACTAGGAACGTCTCGAAACACCCTGCATAAGATCATTCCATTAGCAGGTCCAATTTCGAGCTAAAACTAACATACATTACAATTTACATACACTAGCTAAGATCAAATAACAAAATCTTCCTATCTCTTTAACCAGTATAAATATCAATTTTTTTTGTTTGAAAACGAAAATTCTCATGCCAAGAATCCCAAATGCATTTTTAATCAGATAACCCAGAAGATTGAACACATTGCATACATGAAAACATATCTAAAAACTAAAACTTTACCATAAAGGTACAACTTTTTCCACCAAGAATGGAGCTTTTTGCAAATTCTCAACCTAAAAGACTAAAAGACTAACTATTACAAGAAAACTATCAAGTTTCTGTGGAGAAAAGACAGTAAAATCACCATTCGTTGCACAGGTTCTGGTGGGAGCTATTGTCTACCTGCAGATCCATTGCAGACAGATGAGCTTACTTTTGAGAAACAAGAGAAGGTGGCGGTGGTGACTGTTAAAGGAGTAATAGAAGTGTTGCTGTTGTTGGGAGACTTCTTTGGGCATTTGTTCTTTTGTCAAAAAGCATGCGCCCAAATCATAGATTAGACTTCTTTTCTTGTGGGTCATCTTTTTTATTTATTTAAAATTAATTAATCCAGCACATTTTCTAGCTGAAGCAGTCCGTGGTTGGAATAATAATCATATGTTTATGCTAAAGTTATTTTTTAAGGTGATAAAGGGGCCTGAAGGAAGGAGACACAGAGGAAGACAATAGTTAAAGCTATGTTTTATTCACTAGTAAAAAAGTCAAGAAAAACACTCCTGTGGTAAAGATGAAGAGAAAACAAAGGAGGGTAGAGCACAAAGCCACAAAGGGACCTTTTTTTCTCCGTTTGGTTTACTTTGTTGTCCACTGAATGTAAACATATAATCATGTTGCTGTTGCACCTCCTTGACCTTATTCAACTTTAATTCAAGGTCTTTTCCTCTAATTAATACAAATAAATATTTATGTACACCAGTACAAGGACATGAATATTTATTTGAGGAGATATTTGGCTTATTAAGTTAAGGAGAAATTTATTATTGATCTGAGGCATAAACATAGGAGATTATTTCATTAATTAGTTCAAAGTGTAAACAATATAGTACTCCGTAATATACAAAATCATTCCAGCAAAATACATCAGAAAATTCAAGCCGAATTACACATCTATACAAATTGTCTAGACCTTCAACACTTTTTTATACTGTATATAACCTTTTTAAACACAAATTATGCATCTCACCATAGTGACAATGAGATACCATTTGTAGAAAATAATACAAGAGATAAACCAAGAAAAAGATAAACGACACATCATATATGACAAGAATAATAAGCGAGCTAAACTGAATTTAAAAACATCAGTAATATATTAATTAACCATTTAACCATAGGAGGTAATGAGGTACTCGTATCATTTATGAAAATACTTAATTTCATATCATCATCATAATTTGAAAACACCAGTGATATATATTAACCATTTAACCATAGGAGGTAACGAGGTATTACCCCAGTGGCCCAGTGCCGCAAAATACGTAATTTCATACGGAGTATATTTGACGAAATTAAAAAATACACAATTTCACGTGCACTTTGAGCACGTACATAAATGATTAGTTAGAAATAAAACTTGAATTATGAATATAAAACACTAGCTGGATTATAAATAGTATGTGCACCGTTCAAACTTCAAAGCTGGTCGATCTTATGTGTTTCGCTGTCTAGGGGCAAAGCTGTAAGAGTCGTGGCCCTAATTATTGTAAAAAAAAATTATGAGCTGTACTTTTTAAAAATATTTAATATGACAAAACTCTGTAAAACTACAATTAGTTAATAATATATTAGAAAAACTGAATACTTAAACAAAAGTAGCAAGTAGCAACAGAAGCATCTAATAAAAGTAAAAAAGTCATTACTTGGAACGTTCTTGAACATTATAATGTAGTAAAACAAAATCTCAGTTTATCATATACCTTTAAAATGATTAAAATCTAAAAATAATGAAGTAGGTATGAAATCACACGAAAAATATTACAACTAGTCATTAAAAAAGCACACTCAAAAGAAAATAAATAAATCACACAAATGGTGACACAACGAATCTAGTTTACAAAAGGAAATGATCGAAAACATGCACTTGTAAAAATATAAATTAAAATATTACAAAATTGTGGTATAAGCAGTCAAATAGACATGCATGAAAGTTGAGGCAGAGTTGAGGTGATCTGGTAAGTGATGGAATGGTTTAATGAGTGGCTTCTTTAATTTGTATGTTTGTATTTGTATATAGACAATTGCATACAATTGATCAATTGTTACTTTTTTCTGAATGTTGTACATTGTATATGGTGACTATAAACTGTAGCATTGTATAGATGTATAATTATTCCGTTGGCGGATCGCCAAAAATGGGTAACCTATTAAGCACTTTTTAGGGAAATTTATCTATACATGAGTATATGACAAATACATTCACGTACGAATTCCTATTTGGGACTCACAAACGTAAATATGCCTTTAAATGAATAATAATTAAATTAAAAGATGAAAAATAACGCCAAAATAAGTATCATACATAATATAATAATACACTATTAACTCAGGAATAAAAAAACTAATTAGTCATATTATAAGACTCACCACATCTTTTAGTCATATTGCTGACAATTTTCTCAAAATTTTAATACTTCTAGGCCATGTATTTCAACTTTCAAGCCTACACTAGTAAAGGTTTTTATTTGTTGTGTAGCCCAATTAAGCTGTAATAGTTGATTAAAAGTTACATGTTTCATGAATAAAATAGTTGATTAATAAGGTTAAGTTGATAAATCCATCAAACATAGTCACTAAGCTTATATGGAAATTTGATGTACGAAAGACTGAGTACTCTATCTATTACGGAGTATGATTATTCTGTTTTGATTTTCTGCAAGTTAATATTTATTTAATTTCGATCATTAATTTTCCTGAATTATATACTGTATATAATGGTTATTGTCATAATATAACTTTCATAGAATTACGAAGAATAGTACTACATATTACTAAAAAAAATAGTACTACATATACAAAGTATATATTTAATAATAATGATGATCAAATAACAATTTTAAAGATGAGATTCTGCGAAACAAATAGGGCCTCCGAATTCGAAGGGATCCAAGGTAAGGGAGTAATAATTATAGGATGCATGCCCATATGATCATGATGATGCATGCCAACATGCGCATGAGTATTCCACAAATATATGTGTCTATGTGACTGTGTTCATGTTCTGTGATGATAGCGGCTGCCGGCTATTTTCATGCACTGTAGGATCGCTACCGCAACTTAGAACTTTTTAAAAAAATAAAAAATAAAAGAGTGATTTTATATTAATATAAAAAAAACATACTCGTATAAAACATAATATACTCCGTACTACGTACTACTACTCCCTTCGTTTAGAAAATAATATAGTGAACCTTGCCATATTAACTTTTCTTAATCAATGATCGATAACAAATTTTTAATAATAATTTTAATTATTATTTTTGTATCTAATTTAATTTAAATTTTTTAAACTTTTATGAAAACATTTTAAATAAGAAACATTTTGATATACTTTTTCAAATTTAAAATAATTTCGTATTATAAAATATTATTTGTCAAAGTTAATTGTCATTGACTAAGAAAAGTCAATTTGACGAACCTTTTCGGGACGGAGGGAGTACTACACTACTACATAGTATTTCTTCCGTATTTTAATGTTTGTTACATTTTCCTTTTTGAATGCATTTATAAGTTTGCTACATTTTCCTTTTTTAATTTATTAAGTTTTTCCTTTAAAAATACTCAATTATTTTACTTTTTCTACCTTTTATATTCTATTTTATACGTACTTTTTTATATTTTTTTTTACTTTTTCTACACTATTCATTATCCCTACGGTGTCACCTTTATATAGTGTGCCCCAAATTTATTGTAGAGAACTTTCAAATACATAGAAAAGTACTACCTCCGTCCCGCTAGAAGGTTCTTATAGCAAAACGACACGGTTATTTAGGTGATAATTAAGTAAAGTACTTCGGATATATTTTGAGAAATAATTTTAGTAGGTATATATTATAATGTGTTAGTATTGATAAGTGTGATGTTATAAATGTATTATTTTTAATATTTAATGACTAATTTGTCACTTAAGATTGTTAATTGTTTCCTAAAATGGGAATGAAAACCTTCTAACAGGACGTCCAAAAAAGGAAAGCGGGAACTTCTAACGGGACGGAGGGAGTATGTATTAAATGTAACATTGGCTCTAACGGGAAAAGGAAAGAGCCAATTCCAAGAAAATCGTTGGATAATAGTAAAAATGAATCAACTTAAGGATTCCCTCGCGAGATGCATAGGTTGTAGGGCAGAGGATTTCTCTCGTCTTATGAGTGCGGCAGTTTTTGCTTGTCGATGGTAGCGGCAAAGACAGAGTGCAGGTGGGCGGCAATTTGCTTTCTCTCAACGGGAGTCAGAGCGTAGATGCATAAATTTCAGCATAATTAGTCAAATCAGACGATTTTTGTGCTATCAAACTGGCTCTTCAACTAGGAATATTGAGCTTTTAAAAAGGAGTTTATTCCCTATATAGGGCAAAAAAGTGAGTCAAGATCACAAATAAGACTACATTATTTTTTATTTTTTTATTTTAAAAACATTTTTATTATTTTTTTATTATTTTTGTACGAATTTAAAAAAAATATAGATTTTTTACTATTTTGTAAGATTTTTTTACTATATTATATTTCATACATGTTAGTATGAAATAATACCCTTAGGGGCGTTTTGGGTATGATGAATTTGTTTAGTCCTATTCTGGATGATAAAAAATGTAGTGGTTCTACTTATGTTTTTTGAGTTATTTTTGGTCTTACTCAAAGCAGTTACTATTTAAAAAGAGAAAAACATACTCCGTCGCTAGCTTAGGAATAGAAGTTAACGCCCATTCATTAGAAATCCATTATCGATAAAGTATTTCTGATTACAAATTTGGATTATACTATCGTAAAAGTTAATGGACCAAGTTCTGCTATATCGTGAACTTGGATCTTATATGATCCTAGACATGCAACATATTTGAGTTTTTTCCACTTTTAATCCTTTGACTATTATGTCATAGATATTTTTTATACTTGATTTTAATTTTTTTTCATTTTTAGTTCTTGACTATTGTGTTGGAGACATTTTTGGTATTCGTCTTTGAAAAATTCTATATTTAGTCTTTCAACTTTCATAAAAGTGACACTTTTGATTATTCAACTATTATAATAGTGACATTTTTAATTTTCTATTTATTGTGTCAAAATCCTAATGAGAGGACTAAATGTGAGAAATCTTGAAGTTGGGGACTAAAAGTGTCTCTAGCACAATAATCGATGACTAAGAATGAAAAAATTAGAAGATGAGTACCAAAAGTGTCATTGACATAATAGTCGGAAGTCCAAAAATGGCAAAAACTTCAACATATTTACTAGTTTATATATCAAACTATATTCTAATGCCAGATATATAGTAGGTTCAACATAGATTTATCACCTCATCCACATAACTAGTTAACTACCGGTTTATATATCAAATTATATTTTTCTAAACGTGTTATAATATCAATTCGTATCAATGCCAACATTCTTCATTGAGATATGATTCGAACTTGTCATATCTTCTTTAGAAGATCAATAAATAACGCTATCAGACCACAAAGTGCTTGACTGATTGAGTTAGTTGTAAAAACTATGAGTTAGTTGTAAAAACTAAAACACTTAAATCACATGATTAAACATCACATGATTAAACATCACATTTATGAGTGTCTCATAAAACTTGTAAATTACTTTTACTGCATAAATATTCATGTTCCATTTCCTGTGTCACCCCTCTCGTCCCGAGAGAAGCCATATCTGTGCATAAAGTAGTTCTTGAGCATAAGGCCATAAGCCATTAAGCCCAACGTATCCGCAACTCGTGAAGTGAAGCAAAGGGAAGGGCCGATGGATGTGTATTCATGGGTCCGACGCCGTCTATCCAGAAACAAACAGTCATCTCTTCCAGCGGGAGGAAAGAGCAAAGTATATCGTAAAACCGAAGAAGATGACCGCCGACTTCACGGCGTCACTGAAACACTAATCGAACTAATCAAATCTTTCTCTGTTGAAACCTTCATAAACTACACACTTCCTGGTAAATTTACTTGAAATTGTATAACCATATGCATATCTATACGCCTTGCCGTATTTTGCCAAATCTCTGATTGAGTAGCTTTGTACAGATGACGAGGGAGCTGATGGGGAGGGCAATGAAGGACCTTCTCGCAACGTTCGAAAGGATCTGTCGGATTGGCAAGAACATCATGCTCTGCTTGTTCTGTCCGAAGTCAAGGTTTTTCTACTTCATTTTCTTATTTGATACTCCTTACTTGCAAATTGATCAGAAACTGAATTATTTTGATATCTAATTTTGCCTTGCGGTTTGAGTTCATTGCTTGAAGGTTAGACCTTGTAAGTTGCAACCTTTGATATGCCCTAATGCAATTCAGTGTAATATAATCAAATACTACAAATTCTTATGGTAGTTGCATACTGGCATAAATGTTTATTAACAAGTGGTATTTGATGGAGTTTGTCTTTGCACTACTATCTACTACCTCCGTCCATTTTAGTTTTACTTTTCAGTCCGGTAAACTTTGGCCAATCGTTTTCGCTAATATATTGATGTGAAACTTATAAATTTTATACTTTCCTATATAAATTATATAAGCGGTTGAAGTTTAACTTCATTGACAGGAAATGTCAAAGATTGTTAAATATAAAGCGACGGAGGAAGTATCTTAGAAGGAAAACTGTTTCCAGATTTTTCTATTCATTGAACTCAATCTGCCTATCAACTTCCGCTGTTACCCATAAAATTCGTTTGTTAGTTTCACCTAGAATCGGCTGTTTGGTAGCACGAAAAATTTAGAGCCCGTTTGGTAGCACGAAAATCGGCTGTTTTGGCTGTTTCTGCTGAAATTTATGAAGTTCTGACTGAAGTGGATGTTTCGGCTGATTCTGTTGTATCTAGAAAAAAATATTTTAAAAATATATTTTATTAATAAAATAAAGAAAAAATTACATGTAAAAATAGCTAAAATGGTCATCTACAGTAACTTCAGCCAATACAGCCAGAAAAGTAACTTCAACCTTACTTTTTATGCTTATTACACAATTCAGCACGCGAAAGAAAAAATTAGGGCCTGTTTACTAACAGAGATATTTTCCTGTTTTCTACTTCTGTTTTTCGTTCTCCAATTTTCTGTTTTTATTTCTCAGTTTTTCTGTCTCCAATTTTCTGTTTCTATTTTTTAGTTTTCCATTTTCAAATCTGAAAACATGTTCATCAATTTTTTCACTCAGTTCTCCAATTCCACACCCTTGCCCCTACCCTTACCACGATCTTACACTCTACACATACTCCCCCACAACCCTTCATACCCACCCATACCTACTCGTCGGGGTAGGGAAGTTATGGGTTGGGGTAAGGGGTATGGTCGGGGTGGGGTGGTAAGGTCTAGGGTAGGGGGTTGGGTGGGGGTAGTTGGTGGGTTAGGGTCGTGGTTAGGAGTAAGGGTGGGGTAGTGGTTAGGGTTTGGGGTAAGGTAGAGGTAGGGTAGGATGGCGGTAGGGTGGGGCCGGGACCAGGGTGGGGCTGAGATAGGGAAGGGGTAGGGGGTGGGGGGTAGGATGGCGGCAAGGGTGATGATAGTGGGTAGGGTTGGGGTAAGGTAGGGGTATTGGGATAGGATGGCGATAGGGTGGGCCCAGGATCTGGGAGGGGCCGAGGTAGGGGAAGGATGGTGGTCGGATGAAAGAAGGGTGGGGGTAGGGTGGCGGTACGAGGGTGGGGGTAGGACGGCGGTTGGGTGGGGCCGAGGTAAGAGCATGTGGTAAGGGGTAAGGGGTAATATACGGGTGGGGGTAGGGTAGTGTGGGTCGGGGGGGTTGAGGTGGTAGGGGGGTGGCGGTAGGGTGGGTGGATCGGGGTGGGGCCGAGGTAGGGGAAGGGTAGGGTGGGGGGGGTAGGATGGTGGTAGGATGGCGGAAGGGTGGGGGTAGGATGGCGGTACGAGGGGTGGGGGTAGGATGGCGGTGGGGTGGAGCCGAGGTAGGGGCATGTGGTAAGGGGGTAAGGGGTACTATATGGGTGGGGGTAGGGTAGGGTGGGGTCGAGGTGGTAGGGGTGGCGGTAGGATAGGGTGGATCGGGGTGGGGTAGGGTCATTATAGGAAAAAATGGGTATTCAGGGTGGGGTTGGGTGGGTAAGGTAGGGTAGGGTAGGGTAGGGTAGGGGTAAGGAGTAAGGTACGAGGATGGAGGTACCGGAATGGAATCGACATCGGAGCGGGACCGGACCCACCACTAAGTGCAATTATGAAAATTCATTGCAGCGGCACTGTAGCATCTGCGTTTTTCAAATTTGGAAAACTAGTAACAGTCATTTCTCCAAATCATTAAGGAAAAGAGAGACATGTCTCATTTTTTCCGTTTTGGAAAACGATTTGGTAAACGCATTTTTCTTTTTTCCTTTCTGCAGTTTTCCAGGAATTTCTTTGGTAAACACGTTTCCTGTTTTCTGTTTTCCAGTTTTCCAGTTTTCTGAAAAACTGGAAAATATCTCTGTTAGTAAACAGGCCCTTACGTGTTTGGTGAAAAAGCTGGTTGATAAGCCGAAAAAAGAGGTCTCCAAACGGGCTCTTAATGTCTTGAAAGAAGTTTTATTTTAGGTGTAATAATAGGTCCACGAACCCATTTCTAATTGCATTCTCATATCCTATATGGTAATGAGGTACCAATCTACTCCATATATTCTACACGGTACTTGATTTTGCAATTTGTCAAATGCTCACTTTGCTTAAAAGTTAAAACTACCCTGTAAACAAATAATGTCTTTGGGTAAAGATTTTTTTGTTAAATAAGATAAAGTCATTCAATTAATTTCTTTGTTGCACAAAACTGGCTATTTTTGACACTTCCATTTTTTTTGACAAATCATTTTTTCATTTTCATCATTTTCTTTTACCCCAGTGCCGCAAAGGCTCCCACCTACGGTGGGGTAGATGGGGGGTCGGATCTACGCAGTCTTACCCTTGTACTAAAACACAGAGAGACCATTTCCGGATGATTCATAGTGAAAATCGCGTCCAAAATTGCATGGACTGACTGCTGTTTCATAACAAAGAAGCGCAGACAGTTTAGTGAGCCATTTTGCTTTATTCCATCATATTCTCAAGCCAATAAATAATGAATCTTTGGCTCCATTTTACAAATCACATGTAAAAATATATAGCACGTGTTTGGTGTAATACTGTAATATGTTTTATTTTGGCAAAGAATTTTTTGGAACTTGTTTTTTATTGTGGGACTAGCAAGTAGTCCATACTAATCAATATACAAATACAGAGTATGTTTTTCTTTAATCAGCATTTATTGTTAATGTGAATACTGTTATAAGTTATAACTTTCCTACAAGGGTCTTTGTTGTTGATGTGATTTTAAATTTTAATACTGCCCATCTTCAGGAGCTAGCACATCTGAGATTTGAGTTATGCCCTCGTTATTTGAAGGAACGTCAGTTTTGGAGAGTCTATTTTTCACTAGTTAAGAGCTACGTGGCAGAGTAAGTGGTATAGGTTTTTATCTTTCCCTTTGGATTCTTTCACCTCATCATATAATAATTATGATTATCACATGTGATGATTAGATATGAACTGCAAGCAATGCGCCTAGCAAGATTAAAGCAGATGAGCATTGAGGATGAAAGCATTCCAGATAGTAATGTGTATGAAGTTGAGATGTTAGAAACAAAGCAAAGGATACATGACATTTCTTTGGAGGACCGCAAATGACCTGACAATATACAAATAAGTAGGTAATAAGTTCTGGTTTTTGTCATACCTTGATGATCACCTTTTTTAGAACATTGTCTAGCCTTCTCAAACTGTATCAGGCTTAGGGTGAGTTGATGTCATTCAAAGTGTATACTATGCTTAGTTATGTTTGTATGTAAAGTTTAGAATACAATGGTGTGTTTACTATGTCGAATATTTCACAAGGGTAATGTCGTGAAACACTTTGCACAGTCAAAATCAAGCGAAACAATTACTACGGGACAATTTAGAAAAAGATTGCATGCCTTACATAGCAATACGATTTGATTTTTCATGCAAAGTTAATACATCCTTACACTTTATGTGTCATCACTTTACATGGTTTATTAAAACAGTAATGACATTACAGTCACTTGACCAAAACCTTTGTTGCTCTTGGTTTATTGCTATATATGTAGTTGAAATTAAAGACCAATCAGTATTCAGTAATCATCTTCATTCATCACACGTTCATCATAACAATTATTGAATTTTATTGACAAATACTCTCACAATTATAAACAAGTAACTAACCTTTTATATTACCTAGAATCTTTAAGAGAGCGAGGAAGCAGGCCTTCAAGTGAGAAGTAAGAGCAGCTAACTGGTCGAGAAAAGGCAACAAAATTATTTCAAGTAGTTAGGATATTAATTGCCTGCTTTAGAATGACAAACCAGACATGCAAGGGTTTACCAGCTTCACCAGTGATATCTATAGATGTGGACTGCTATAGGAAGGAAATAGAAAAAGGCAGACTTATTTTCAAGAAAGTGAAAGCTAGGATTGTTATAAGCAGACTGAAAAAAGGTTGGGTTATTAGAATCAATTTTACCTATTCTGAATTGCAGTTGCTTCTTAAAACCAAAGCTTTTCAATTAAGTTCTATAAAATCTTTGAATGGTTGACTTCGTGCTTGTAGAGCATAGGTTGCTACAAGAAGTTGGCTTCTTGCTTCTGGCCTACTGCATTTGGTTATGATATTGGGAACACAGGTTTTGGTCAAGTGATTGTAATGTCATTACTGTTTTTAATCCCTGACATTAGCTGTTTCCACTTTTGATGCACTGCTATGGACTTCTTGCTATTTTTGGTGCATGTGACACTGAACCCCACTCGTTGTGTGCAACTTTAGATTGATTTCCCATCATAAATGACCAGTAAAACTAAATGTGGCTAAGTAAGTCATAGTTATGCACCAAAAGTGAAAAGAATGGAAGTCGGCGATCAGAAGTTATTGAATTCCTAACCTCCATTACGATGGATGGTTTTTTGTTGAAGACTTGAAGTTATAGCACAGTTAAACTGCCCTATACAATAATTTATATCAGATTCATTCAATAATTACAACAAACTGCAAAAAGTGTGTTTGGCATTTAGCGGTTAGCGAATATCGGATTATGTTAGCGGGTTGTCAATAGCGGATTCAATCAGTTGGTTTGACTAGCGGAATAAGTTGACGGGTGCCACAAGATGCTTGGTAATTTAGCTACTTGGCCATAACAATGAGTGAAAAACTTCATATTTCAAAACACTAACTTAAAACTCTCCTATTTGCAGCGTTTCCGTCCAAAAACGCAAGGGTCTAACAGCTATTTACCAAACAACGTTTTCACGTATTGAAAACGTTAAAGAGGATCAAACCGCCATTTTTTTTTTTGCCAGAAATGCCATTTTTCACTTATTGAGTTCATTTTTAGATGGCAAGGATGAAGAAATGCAGTAAATGATTCTCTGCATGCAAGACTGATTTTTGCAAGGGTAACTGCAGGGCACAGTTAAAAAGGCAACACATTTGAAGAGAATTGCAGGTAACTAGGTAAGTATCACGTTTTTACTGAGTTAAGACATTTGAAGCAACTTAAAAGCATCCGCTGAATGAATTGAATGCATATTAAATGCCATTTAAGTACTAATGCTTGTCTATTTTAGATTGGTGCTTTGATATAATTGTTTGTACTTTGTACCCGCTGTTAGGCTGTGAGCACACCATATATTCAGCTGTATATGCCAGTGGGCGCCAGAAGACAAATGAGCAATATATGAAGAGTTGGACTAATGAATCTGATTAGTGAATAAGTTTGTACTTATTGAAAGCTTTACTTTTTGGTAAAACTTTTGTTTTTGTGAGGTCTTTTATAGAAAAATTCAAAGTAACATTGTGAATATGTTTTGCTGATTTTAGAGAAATCAGTGGACCTTGAGAAGACATGATGAGAAATTGAGATGTCTTCAGTGAATGAAAGTGAGGATGCCATTTTTTGTACGTATTAGGTGGGAGGTGATTAGTCTAATCGAAGTGGAAAGTAGGTTTTGTGGTAGATTAGGGCACACTGATCTGTCAAACTGTGATTTGTTCGAAAAAAGGTTCATTGTTCTTTCTTCCTATTTGGTCCTATAACAATGATGGTGATGACGGTTTGGTGGTGCAATAGAATAAAGGAGAGGAAGAAATTGGTAAAGATCCTTGGCCCAATTAGTCCGCGGTTGTGTTCTACTTTATGTGCATTATTATTATTATGACCAAGTATGATTGGTTAGACAATTATTTTATGTGCGTTATGACTAAGAATGTTGTTAATTGGACTGGTCTGATTTGATTTATTTAAGTTTGTTATGATCTAATTTGAAATGGTCTAAATGAATTAATAGATGTTTGTTATATGTGTATTTTACAATGGTCAAAGTCTAATTTGATCTCGACCAATCTAGGACTGGAATCAGTTCAACTAAAAACATCATAATTATGTTTAGTTAATTAATTTTTTGACCTACACTTAATACGCCCCCCATTGCCTTGTAAAATACGATAGAATTGTCTATGTTTTTTTAACAGAAAATTGATTAATTTGTATGAATTAACGTTATATCTTATGAGAATGGCAAACCTTCTTAGCTTACTCATTTCTTCTAGATACGTAGTCTCTCTTATACTTACCAGTTAACTTACACTAAATATAACAGATTACTCTATTTTTCTCTTCATATGTTTCCCCAAATTTCTTTCTTCCCTGTTCTTCCTCACACAAAAGAAAAGTATTCTATATTGACATTAATATTGATGACCAATAATTTAAAAGGAACTTACTCTAAGGCGACAAGCCATCTTAAGAAACTCTAAAATAAAAAGATAAAGAATTTCGTTCCAGATATGTTTATAATAATTGGTCATTTAAAGAATACCCTATTTTCTTCTAACAAACAATTTGTTTATATTTTATTTCAATTTTAAATAAGTACTTTCTTGCTCAAACGAATAAGAATATTTGAGGTAATAGTCAAAGCTGTCATTAGAAAACCAATATAACTTGTAAGCATGAAAATGCCACTTTAAGTATATTTTCTCAAGTTATGACATGATCTGCAAAAAAAAGAAAAGAAAAAGAATATGACATGATTAAATAGTCTTTACCGATGATTGAGTTGACAGCATTTTCATTTTTTGTTAGATATTCAGTTTCTTAAATACTACTCCCTCCGTCCCGCCAGAAGGCGTGAATGGTTTACGATGCTTGACTGACGATAAAACAACTTAATCCATGTTCACATTCTGATTATTTTTAGTGAATAAAATTTACATATTCAGAAACTACATTAAAATCGCTACAAAGCCTGATAAAAAATGTAGATTTGATAAAAATTCGATATACTACTATAAAGTAAAAGATTTAAAATGATTTAAGTTGACCATGTAAATAGTAAATGAGAACCTTCTAACGGGACGGAGGCAGCACGTATTATTTTCCGAAGAATGGTTTGGACTTTGGAGTACTATAGCCTGGTTTTGTAAAAAGAATGAAACTCCCTAATTATTCTCTTTTTGTGGCACATAAAGATGGGGCGGGGATGGGAATTGCTACACCCGCCCCGTCCCCCGTTAAAAATATATACTCAAACATATATATACACACATATAAATAATGTACAAACATATTAAATTAAATTATATGTAGTATATAACAAATGCATATACATATACATATATATATATATATATATATATATATATATATATAATATAGATATATATGTGTGTGTGTGTGTATATATATATATATATATAGACATACATAATTGTATACGGTTTAGTCATGGTTAATGAATTAATACATACTACGTATTATACTAGAATAATAATAAGTTAGTTTAAGAATATTTATCATAAATGTTATATGAGTTTTAAGAATGAGTAAATAAATACACATTTAAAATCGTACGTGTGCCTAATGCGTGGTTTTCAATTTGAAAGTCTAAAACAATAAAAACGATGCAGTGATATTATCAATTTTCAGACCACAATTTTCTCTTGAGGGGGTGAAGCAACAAACACAAGAAGTACTGCTTAATGACTAATGTCTACATGTAATGAATTAATGATAGACGTGTCAGGGCCGTCTCTAGCAGTTTTGGTGCCCCAGACAAAAAATGATCAATAAGATCAAATAGTACTTAAAATTAATAACAGAATTAAATATGAAGTAATTAGAAAATTATAATACAATTTTTTACTCAATGTAAAAGGTAATACTTGACTTAAAATTGATATAAAGTATGTTAAAATAGAAATTCTTCTAAGAAATAAATAAAACTATAAAAGTACTACCTAATAACTTATCCATTGAAGTAATTGAACCAACAAAAGATTGCAATACTTCATCTTTTTTTTTAAGTTTTCTCTTTGAAGCTCCCAACTCTTGCTTTTGTTTTCCCGTCATAGCACACACTATAAAATACGGAGTAATACTTTAACACTAATTAATTCTTTTAGAAGTTAGTCAATATGGAAATACCATTTATAAAGAACAAGTTTCAGACTGAATTTGATAACCGAATAACTTCACGAAAATTAGAGAAAAAAAATATAACACAAATTTTCATGTTTAATACAATTAATAAATAATAATTAATAAATTGATCGTAGAATAACTTATTTAATTATAAACCTTAGTCCTAATTTTTTATCTGGAAATCGGAATTGTCAAGAGATATTACCCAAAATGGGACTAAAAAAGTTTGAAAATTCCAAAATAGGACTTTCATGTTTTTATTGCCAAAATAGGACTAATTACTGTCATGTTTTGGCAGTACCAGACTTCAAACATGACAGTATTTTCTAAATTTGGCAGTAATTAGTCCTATTTTGGGAATAAAAACATGACAGTCCTATTTTGGAATTTTTGAACTTTTTTAGTCCCATTTCGGGAACTTTCCCAATTGTCAATTATGAATAATGTATTGCAGAAGAACTGAAGAAATAGAAGTTTTTTTTATGGAAAAAGAAATAGAAGTTTTAAATAATCAAATACGGAGTATAACGAATTAGTTGATTAATCAATCTGAAATTTCAAATCAACGGGATGATTGTTGGATAACTGGATTGCACAATTGGCTAGTGGTTGTGGCTATTCCCGGTTGCCTCCGGTATAACATACATATATTGATTTATTAGGGTAGTAGTGTAGTCTACGGAGTAATAGTCTAATAGATAAAGTGATAAACTACATTACTCGTTTATTGATTTATTCCTAAGGTTAATTTCCTCCTAATTTTCTTTTGGGCCATCCGGCCAGCGGGCCAGCCTCCCACATTTGTCAGAATTTGTTTATTTTATTTGATCTGCTTTGACAGTTGCCTTTTTACTTTGTACTACGGAGTAGTTCTTGTACCCACATAGTCGCTGGCCGCTAGAATACGTAGTGGAATACTAGTTTTGGAGTAAAATGATGCCCCCTTGGGAGTGGTGCCCTAGGCCATTGCCTAGGTGCCTACCCCATATGGCCGGCTCTGAGACGTGTAAGGACAATACTGGAGCAAATCCAATAAAATGATAATGATTTTCGTTTTTTTTATATTTAAAGTATTCAAACTTGCACTCTTATAAACTTGGAGTTTATGATCTACCGTCCAAAACCCCTACCACCAGACTCCTTTTTCCATCACATGAACTCGTTACCTTCATTAACATCATTTCCGTTGAGCTATCATGTGAAAGTAAAGAGAATCATGAATAACAAAACCCCCATTATGTCTTATGGTAAGAATTGAACCAAGATCTCTCACAAAAGAGAGACTTGGAGATGGTTGTTCAATTCACCCAATTGAGTCACACCACTTTCTAATTTTAGGTGATCTTTCTAAGTGGTATTGGTGAGGATTCGAGTGGGCTGATTCTTTTGATTTTGTATGAATGTTGATAGGTGTAGGTACAACTAACAAGGAAGGAACACGGAGGTGATACATTTGTGTGTTGGATTTGCAAAAAAAAAAAGTTTATTTTTAGATCTTACAGAAAACTCAGGACAAAACATACAAATAAAATGTGAGCTAGATGGTTTTAAAGAATGAAAATCATAACATAGTTGGTATAGATTGTAAAAGGCTCAATGGATATACCATATATAATTACCCAAGGACATTATTGTCAAGTACTTCCTTCTTTTAAAAATTATCTTCATACTTTTTTTTTTCATTAGTACTAAATAAACTTCATTTTCCTTCATGATTCATATAGAGTATTATTTTTGTCACCACATATTTTCATTCTTTTTTTCTATTAATGTGTGTATCACGGTGTATGTGAATAGTCAACAAAAGTTAATATTGAGACAAAGGGTGATTTTATGCTCGTCAACCGGACTCAACCGACTCAACCCTCCCTAAGTTTTATCTTCACGAATATCATAACTCAATAATAAATGTAGAACCGGTGGGCGTAGCTCAACTGGTAGCGAGAGAGTGTCATAAAGGTTAGGTCCTGGTTTCACACCCGTCAACTGCGATGAGAGATTACTCAAAAGAGGGTCTCTACAAATATAGAGAACGGAGTCTCACTCTCTATCTATAAATGTATGAATCAATAATAGATGTGGAATCCAATATAGACTACCATGTACTAACGTTGAAGTTCCAACAACATCCTTTGACTCCCTTCAAAAAGCAATAATTTTACCACTAGGAAGCCCCCAACGTCTTTTTTATTTGATGATTCATTTCTTTTCAGTTTTCACGATTCAAAAAGCTACTTTCCTCATTGCCACTCACTTTTCAGTTCTTTCCTGCTCTACATTTTTTGAAGTGATTGAACAAATATGCAGCAACAAGCTCAAAGGCAACATGAAAGGACATCAGTGCAAAACTAAAAAAAGATTGATGCCCCATCCCTGAAGATCCCAAGCATCGATCGGACAGTTAATTGGGAGGGCGTTGAGTTCAAAACTAAATGTCTAGGGTTGGTTACCCTTTGAGCCGGCTGTGTTGGGTCTCTTAAATCCTTGAGATATAAGTGCACAAATCATTTTCAGCTGAATATCTAAGGCAAAGCTACTGTGTTATGCCTATCGTGCTAATAAGCGGAAAAACCACTAATCTTTGACTTAAATTTAGTGTTAGTGACTAAAAATAAAATTAGTTCTTTCCATGCACGCATAATATAGAGGCCGTTTGGTAACACTGAATTCAGCTAAATCGGCTGATTTTGCTGAGATTTATGAAATGTTTGCTGAAGTGATTGTATTGACTGATTCTGTTGATTTATGAAAAATTTATTTTTAAAATATATTTTATCAATATAATAAAGAAAAAAGCTAAAATAGTTATCAACAGTGACTTCAGTGAATACAACCAGA